TACACGTATCAATATATCTCAAAGGCTAAAACTCTATGCAAATTTACTTTTTGAACTTTTAAATGGGCTTTTAGGTGGTGCAGTGGTTAAGGCTTTTGGCAGCTAACCAAAAGGTCTGTGGTTTTGGTAAAGATTTCCAACCTTGGAAACCCTATGGGACAGTTCTACTCTGTCCCATAGGGTCACTGTGAATCGGGATCCACTAGATGCCAGTGGGTTTGGTCAGAGCTGTCTTTATTACCAAATTACAACGATGCTTCAAACCTCGTGTTTTCATCTGAGCACTGTTATTTTGCTGCCAGTGTTTTGTTATAGTTGCTGATTTTGTCAAATTTTCTGGTGTTTTACGTACATTATTGTGGTAATTAGTATTTGTGAAGCTGTACCAATAATGTTTTTGAGAATGAAGTAGCACTTAAAGAAAAAGGAGAAAATGAAAGAAGGCTTTCTCCAGTTACTAATAATATAACTAATACTGTTGCAATTCAACATAGATTTTACAATTTTGCTGTTAGTATTCAGATACTCTAAAAACTATTAGATTTAAGCAATTTATGACTATTTTAATCACGTATTGGGAGCTCTGGTGGCGTAGTGCCTAAGGCATTTGACTGTTAACCCAAAAGCTGGCGGTTCAAACCCACCAGCCAGTTCTCAGAAGGAAGTTTGGGCAATCTAATTCCGTAGTGATATGGCCTCGGAAACCCAAGGAGGGGTCACTATGAGTCAGGTCCGACTCAATGGCGGTGAGTTTGTTTTTTGGTGCGGTGAGTTTGGTTTTTGGTTTTCACATATTATTTTATGGTTAATAATAAACAACACTAAGGATTCTGTATGGACTGGTACGGGAAGATGTCCATGGGGGAAGGGTGACACCGAGTTACTGCATTGAGTGACATCAATCCTAGTGATACCACTTGCCCATGGTGGGGCTCGGCCATACGAAAGGAAATCAGACTCTCTGGGGGTAGGGGGAACACTGGTATCTTTAAGAAGCTTCCCAGCTGATGCGCACTGGGTAGTTCGTATCTTCTTACTGCTTGCTGGAAGGGTTGGATGTCACCTAATGGGCACATTGTCTCTTGAATAGAATCCTCGCTTTTTCCTTCTCCCGAGTTGAGTTGTCGGGGATTACGTCTTAATGGGACCATCAAGCTACAGGGAACCTTTGAGACATCAGTGGGTTCGTAGCTGTTTAGGGCCCAGCTGGTTTCCCAGTACGGGATACAGTAACTGTGGGTCAGCTCTGCCCAGAGGGCGCGGCGGGGTGGGCGGTGGACACACATACTAACCCAGCTTTCAGAAAGGCTGGAGACAAAAACCAAAGCAAAACTCACTGCCCTGGAGTCAGTCCTGACTCAGACAAGACTGGTGCAAACGGCGCTCTGCTGCTGTTCCAACCCCCCCCCCCAGCATAGTCCCGGGAGACAGGCTTGGCGCTCTGCTTCTGAAAGTTTACAGCCTTGAAAACCCCTTGGAGAGAAGTCCTCTGCGTGCGTGCGGATGCCATGAATCGGCATAGTCAGTGACAACTTTCTTTCGGAGAGAAGGGAAAAAGGGGAGGATCGAAGAGAGGTGAGGAAGAGGCAGCGGGGAGGCGGGGAGAGGAAAAGCGAGGGAGGAGCCAGAGAAGTGGCCAAGGGCGGCCAGTCCCCTGCTGGGCCCCGCCTTCCGCGCCCTCGCGCCCAGCAGCGGCCACCATGGCGAGTCTTGACCCCGGCCCGGCCGTCCCCGTGTGGCTGAGCGAGGACGACCTGGGCTGCATCATCTGCCAAGGACTGCTCAGCTGCCCTACCACCCTGCACTGCGGCCACAGCTTCTGCCGCTCCTGCCTGGAAAGGCTGTGGGGCGAGCGGGGCGTGAGGCGCCGCTGGGCCTGCCCCACCTGCCGCGAGTCCACCGCGCTGAAGCCGCGGCTGCGGAAGAACACGCTGCTGCAGGACCTGGCTGACAAGTACAGCA